TAGGGAAATCCTTGCCTCTTGTATAATTTCTGGATGACATAACTCTAATGGTAGCAAAGAGTCGCACAATATTTGCGCGCGTTCCATTTCTAATTATGGCAACAGAAGGTGAAACAGCTGATCACAATCAAAGTAAAAGAGCAGCTAAACTGCCCAAGAGAAAGGACACTGCAAGTGTCCTTGTACTCAACCCTGTGCTGCTGGCTTCAAAGGGAGACGGCCAAGGGAGTTGGGGCCTGATTTTTAGAACTGCTCAGGACTGGTTGATCCCGCAGAGGGTGGGCGCTCTTTGGAAAATCAGTCCCATCAGAAGTTCATCTGCAGTTTAGTTTATGCCTCAAGACAACAATGTCCTGCCAAACTGTGAAAGAGAATTTCCCTATTTTAATTGGTTTGAATTTAACAGTTGATACTCAACCGCCCTAATTCTAAGTACCAGGAAAAACATTTGAAACCATTAACAGCAAGGGACGTACAGGGTGTTTCAGCCAGTGATCTTTGAAAACAGGGCGCATCTTCTTGTGAACCACCACTTCTTGCAGGTCCTCAAGGGATGGGTGCTGACCAATCTCTTCTTCAAAAGGCAGCATATATTCATCCACTGGACCTGAGGTGCATGGAGAGAACTGTATTAGTAAAGAGAAGGACTCCAGAAAGCCTCTTCACTTTGTGATGTGCAATTCCACAGCAACAAGAAGAACATGCACCTGCAAAGCAAAGCATAAACAGTGAACATGCTTCATGTGTCCTTCTAGAGAGACATGATTTATGCTCCTCTACAATAAGGTTTGCTGTCACCTGTTTCAGTCCCTGAATTTCATACCAAGGGTCTGCTATGAGTCCTAACTTTTCCACAATAGTCCAAATGTCCTTTTCCTACTAGAAATCAGAGGGGTTTTGTTTGTTTAAATGAAGCCAATTAACCCTTGTTCATCAAATCCTGAATTTATTCTTCTGGCAGCAAATATTTAAACGGCTAGACATTTTGCACTGGGTACTAACTTCTATGGTCAAGTACCCATGAAATATTCTTCATTGGTTCTTTCATGACCTCACCTGCTTATAGGCTTAAGTCAATACAGCCATCATTTAGCTGGCTGGTTTTGATTACTGCACCAGGGTAGTTGTTCCAAGCACTTTCCAATAAAAGCTTAGACATTCATACTTAGTATGTAGCTGCCATCCAGTTATGCTGTTATCCTTGTTGGAAGGAGGACATCTTCACAGGAAGGCACATCTTGCAATGAATAGCAAATTCTTGCAATTCTTTTTTCAGGGTTTTGAAGGACATTTACACTAATAACCCAAGACAGAATGCAGGAATATGTTAAGGCTAAATATGGCTAAGATTAACCCATAATGTTGAGCCATGCATTAGGGCCTCACAATCTGGGAGCTGCTTTGGAGCCCAGCATCTGGAGAAACTTATCTGGGTCAAGTCCACTTTTAACATGTAGGCAACCACAACATGAAAAATACCTGTGTACCATTTCTGAGTTAACAGTGTAAAAGGACAGATAAAGCATGCTACTGACTATTCCTACTTGCAAGTGCAGGAGGAGAACATTGCCAAGCATGGATCTACAATGATCTGGACCACGTGAAAATTGTTGAAAGATGCAACACAGGTTCCAGACTACACCTAAAACTGCGATTTATTGAAACATCACTTGGTGTTGTGACATTCTTGCTTGTACTCCGACACATGACAGCCCAATTAAAATGATCGGGTTGCTTTAGGGTTCTCAGATAAGACTCATTGTTTCTCAGCATCAAATGGTGACTTTCAAGCAGGACTGTTCAAACTAACATAAAAACAAGAATGGGGTTATTTTATCTGAACAAGAACTGTTGGACCTCAAGAACGCATTGTTAAAATATTCTAAAGAACAGTTCAAATGTTTTGTTTTTCCTGCTCATGTGGTACTAGGACTGAAACAAGCCCGGACTTTCTGGTCAAAGTACGATCCAGCTCAACAGATATAAGAACAATGCTAATAAAAATGTAATAGGGTATTTTTTTCTTGGTTGAGAACAGCTTTAATCAACAGTGTCCTGGATTTCAGCAAACACCCAAAAACCCAAATTGCAGATCAAAATGTACCTGGAAATGCACAGGAAGCTAGTCTACAGATGAACTCACTAAATCTGAATAGATTCATAAGGGAAGAGAAGAGCCTTTAAGGACAGGCCAATTAAGGGGGTCATTTCAGTAAGCCTGAAGGTGTCGCAAGATATATTGCTTATTGGGTATCAATTATTTCCACGTAAAACATTGACACTTGACAAGCTGCAATATTTGTGGGGCGGGGGGTCTCTCCAACTGCCAGCCTTGTACGTTCAACCTGGATTCGTGAGCTGAGCAGGGTTATTGCTGGCATGTATACCTCCAGCAGTTACAGGTCCTCCTACCCCACAATATGCATGTGCATCCCACTGTCTTTAACCTGAAGTCCAAAGCTTTGTTGCTGCAGGGTGAATCATTACAATTCAGGTCAACTTCCCATTGCTGTAGAGGTTCTGCCATCCACAAGACTAAACACATTTGGCACAGCAGACATGACGCTAGGTGTACGCAACCAGTGTGCTGAGCAAGAAAACTCTGTTTATACAAAGTCCCTTCAGAGGTCGAACTGCTCTATGTTCAATGCAGCTCCCGCTCAAGTCAAAGGAAGCCTTCCTGTTGACTTCAATGAGTGTTGTACAAGGCCTCTTTCACCCCCATGGTACCACTCTCCTCCTGCTGCCCTTCCCATGTCCTGGTATAGACAATAAGCTCCATTTAAAGTATATGATCAAACACCCCAGTTACAATGGGGTTTCTAAATGCTACTGTAATACAAACCAGCAATAATATTGAGTAATAAGCACCTTGAGGACTGGACTGTCCACTCCATTGCCTGATTCAATCCCAAAAGTTCAGAGTTGCAAGTCAGTCTTGGAGCTGACAGAAACAAAATGATTGCTTCTGCATCTCCGTGACTTCTGACAACATCAGGCAATCTCCTACACACAGCAACCCTGTCATTCAAGACTAACTGTGCTAATAGCACATGGTGCATCTTTGGCAGCATGTGGGATAGATACCACAGTTTCAAGCACTGTTTTGACGAGGGAACATTAAGGAAAAGCCCAGGGATACCAGGGCAGCAAACTCTAGTGGCTAACCACCAGAGAATCAAGGCTTCAGAAAGGAGCTACCGAAGGCAGCAACAGGGGCAATGCAATCAACCTGGGCCAGTTTTGAGATGGAACCTCATATTTTTATGCACAGGATTAAAGGCCTTAGTTTCTGTGATAGCAGGGGGCAATCTTTGGTTCCTAAAGGCTTTGATTTTACTTTTTTTTTTTTTCCAATTGAAGTGTTTAGGGTTTCGTTCTTGCAATTTGGACAGCATCATCATAAATTCTACAGGGGCTAGGTCTGGCATGAGGACAGCTACGTCAGCCCCAGCACGTCTTTCTTCTGAGACCTAAGCAAGCTCCAAACTTAAGTGAAAGCTAGTAGGTTCTGACAAAACATGAGACCCCCTTTCACTGGCAACAGATACATGCTGCACGGAGCATATTTAATGCTCTGAAAGAAGTCCCACTGTCAACTGTTCTCTCCTTCCCCCACCCTCCATAGTGGGCTCCCAACCATTTTGCAATAATTGGCATATTAGTAACATACTTGGACACAAACACTGCAAAATCCAGGGGGAATAACAGTCTATTTTCAAAAACAGATTCACTGCATAATAAGAACATGCCATTACTCGAAATACGTTATTTTTTGCCTTGAAATCTGCTTCTCTTTCCCATTCTATGCCATTATTCTATGCATATAAAATGTCACTTAACAGACCTGATAAAAACTATTTAAGAATGCAGTGGAATAGAAACTTAGATATCCCGAACCCAGGTAGAAATCAGCAATTTACAATATTCAAGCATCGGCAACTGATCTTAGGCTTAATTTTATACAACAGAAGATCATCTTTTGTCTGCACCGGGCTCCCTCTAAACTTAAGAACTTAAATGTGGGGTCAGTAGATTCACGTTGGAAATGTGATGCACTGTAGGCAATGCTTGGTCACATGTTTTGGTCATGTCTTACTATTAGCTTTTTTTGGAAAATAAATTGTAATGAGAGTTACCATGGTTTGGAACAGAGCATTGATACCTTTGGCAAATATGTATGTTCTTGGGTCTGTCCCTAAGGAAATAAAACTGAACCCTTCCTTCCAAGTTAGCATTCTTACAGCAGGCCTTGTTAGTAACATGCAGGCTTATAATGCTGCCCTGGAAAAGTAAGACATCTTCAAAAGTTAAAATTAGGTACAACGAGATGGCACAGCATCTATGGAGAGAGTCATGTTTAACAAGTTTAACTGCTTTGAAAAATTTAGTACAATTTGGAAAAAAATGCTTGGAGTGTTTGGATAGCTAGAGTGTTGCTCATTGCACACTTCTTTTCTATCCCACTCTTTTCCTCCTTTCTTGCTTCCTTTTACTGCTGAATGCTCATCATTGACATGTACAGTTGTTATAAGTTTTTTCTCATTTTTGTATTGTATTAAAAAAGAAATCAATGAAAAAGAGCACGTCATTAACTCCACAAAGCCATCATTATTCTCCGGACAAAATGGCTCTACTGTAGCAGAGTTATCTACAGAGATATGGGGAACTTTACACTTACCATCGACTGCTTTGCACCTGGAGACTAGCTCCCACAATACTAGTCCCATTGCATACATGTCTATTCTCAGGAAGGCATCTCGCTGGAAGTTGATTGCCCCCTCTAGCACCTCAGGAGCCATGTACCTCCTTGTTCCCACCTATGCAGAGAGAGAAAACAGAATGAAGTGAAATTTTGTCTTGGCCAAATCAAGAGATAGGTGGGTTTGTATGAACTGCAGCAGCTCTGCCAACTACAAGGCTACTTCTGCTAAGCTGGCTTCAAACAAAAGCTCTTTCTGGCACTATTCCTCATGGAAACCACTTCACTCATGCAAAACAGTTGTAAAGCACACATCCCTTACTGCATGCGCATGCATATGATACTCATTTAGATCATTATTATTCACTGAATTAAATGCAATGAGATAAGACAACCATGGCTGAAATTGTTTCTCCAGCCATCCTAACACATACCCGCACATAAAGACATTTCTGGAAAGACTTGAAACATCCTAAGCTCTAGTTAGGCCCTGTTATTTGATTGCATCTGATGGCTCAAGTCTACAAAAGAATGGAAGACTGGCGAATTAGAAATGGTTTAACAGGACTGGATAAAACACTCTTAACCATGTGCTGAAGAGAGGCAAACTATAACCCTGGGAAGGCAGTTCTAACCATACATAAAAGAGCTGCAAACCCACATGGTGGGTGTGTGCAGTGGACCCCCCCCCCCAAAGCAGTGGCACTGGTAGGAAAAGAATAGAGTAAATCAGAGAATCACCCAATTCAGTGCTGGAATTCAGTCTTTCTTGGGAAGTCTGTGACAAACTACTCATCTTAGCAGTGTCTGATTGTGGGGCAAATACTGAATAGAAGGTGCAGAAGGAGTAGCCTACAAATCCAGAGAAGGGTAACAAAAATGGTCAAAGCTGTGGCTCGATTTGCACTGGCATTGGTAACTGCCACAACTCCCTTCTGGGACAAAGACAAAGTAGTAGAAAGGATTTGTATAGCACATTCAAAAATATTAAGGGTATAAAAAGTAAAATTATTGGTTCTTCCTTTATACCCACTGGGTAACATGAGAACCAGGGGGTCATTCGTTGAAATTTAAAAGGCATCAAATTTATAACCAATAAAACTGTAGTAATTTTTTATATGCTGCATGTAGTCCGCTTACAAGATTTATTGCTGCAAAAGGTCAGGCAGGCAGCTACAATGGCTGAATTTTAAAAAATAATTGAATAATTTTGCAACTATTAATATTTGATGCCAACACAATAAAGATTGATCAAATCTCACATTTCGTGGTATAAGCCGATTATCTCCTGGGGTCAAGATGGACTCCACCTCCTCACTATGCAGCACTGCACAAGTGATGATGAATACTACTGGAAAGGCAAACTAGCTGCTTTCCTCTGCAACAGCAGATAAAAGCTACTAGTGGAGCCACATTACCTTAAAAACAGCAGGTAGAAAGCATCTCACAGTACAGGAAATTTAAGATCTTCTGCCACTATCAAGAATGCTAGTGCACCTTTTGTTTCTTCCAACCAGTAATTTAAATGGAATTAAAATTTGAAATACATGCATGTGGTAGTGATGACACAAATGTCAAACTGGATCTAGACCTTGCTCCACATTCACCCCAACTTCTGCTCTTTGAACAAAGGCTTCCAATAAAGCTCATTTAAAACCAGTGACTAAAGAGAGATTTAGTGTCTATATCCTTGCAAATTAGTCAGGATCAAGTACTCCTGCAATCTCCTGTCCCCCAGTAACCATCCCCTTTCTCCTGCATTTATGGAAACGCTACCCACACACATCAGAAAATGTGGCCAAGATGTGGGAAGCCCAACAATTCTTTAAAGAAAAGATAATCATTACCTGCCCGTGGGTATCCCCTGGGGGTTTTCCAGGTTCAAACCGTACGGCCAGTCCAAAGTCAGCTAGAACTGCTGTTAAGTCATTCTTCAGCAACACATTTTTGCTCTTGAAGTCCCTGTAGACAGGCAGAAAGCGTGTGGGGGTGGGTTTCAGGTGGCACAAATCCATCACTTTTAAATATACCAGGTTAAAACTGGATTGATTTCACTGCCGAGCGCAAGACGAGCTCCCTTATCCAGCACGGGCAAAATATACTCAAGACACATTTTTTAGCTTGGGATCCGATTTGATCTATGAAAGAAATCAACAAGCTGAAGCCAAGTTTACTGGCGTATTTAACATAACTCTTTCCCTTTCACCATACCTTCCCTTTTCAGCACTTTTAGAGAATACTCCCATCTCCCAGAACCCCAAAACACAGCCAGACGAACATGCTGTATTGGGAGCGGTATCACAACCCCTCCTGCAAACACCAAGCTGAAGAGTTTCATGCGCTGCACAGGACGGGGCCCGGTTCACAGATTCTGGGCCTTGTACTGAAAGCAAGTTCACACTTCTTTAACAGGATGGGCAGCTGTGTGCCTGCAGTAGTGCCACTTTGTGTCCTTGGTCCTCCAGTCAAAGGCTTCCTTCTTTTCCCCCCTTCGCTCACTCCTTTTTTCCCCCAATTCACTCCTTTTTTCCCCCAATATAGAAAGCTTGGGTCTGGGGTACCCAACCTGCTCCTAAGTGGACAGTCACACTGGGTTTATCACAGCTTAAGAAACCAGAAGGGGAGAGGATCAGCAGAACCAAAAAAAAACCAGGGAAGGAAGGATTATTTTAGAAAAGAATCAAAGGAGGATGAGGAAAACAAGGAGACAGCAGGGGCTGAACTGAAGGGATCACAACAACAGAAACCAACACAGCCCCGCACACCACATATAAGGACATATTCTCCCCTCCTCCTTGCCCCACCCCCCAGCAAGGCGCATAAAGACAGGTCCCTTGCCCAAAGTGAGGGCTGTTAAAGCTCTGTATAAAAGTTATATTTCATACAAATATGAGAAGCAATAGCCAGTATTTCACACCAGTGGCAGCACTCCCTGGCCCCTCGTCCCTTAGAGGGGTTTGAAAAAGGGGGAAGAGTGCAGGCAGGTGCAACAAAAGGCTGTATTATAAAGTGGCAATGCAGCGATCACTCCAGACCACTCCTTTCTCCTTTGGTAGATACTGGGCTTTAAAACACAAGTGACTCAGCAAATCTGACTGCAGCTTTTCCTCGAAAAAGTACCTACAAATCCACTTTTCCCAAATTCCCAGTTGCTTGCATGTTATAAGCAACCAATTCTTACTCCCAGCCCACATACTTGCTGTATTCCTGATTCCTGGGAATATGTAGTCTGAGCTAGCTGGCTTTAAGTTGGCAAGTCCAAATACTGCCAGCAGCCCCATGGGACTTGGAACAGGCTGCTGAATCTGCCCTGGAAACTGGGTAAATAAATACTCATCTAAATGGATAGGTTCATGCTTGGGCATATTTTGTAGTTTGTACTGAGCTTCCTGCTGCTGGAGCTACACTGCTGGGCATACCCGAAGTTAGCCAGTGCAGAGGTAGCTTGGGCATTCCTACCCCTGCTGCAGACACAGCGATACCCTTGCTTACGGGCTTATTTTAAAGTCAAGGTAAGGATGAAGCAGTCAAAGATTTTTGAATGAAATGCTGCACAATCCATAAGATACAGCTTCAAAGGGAATTTGGACTCTTGTCAAGGATTAGTGGTCAAGACACCTAGGAGAGCCAATCTCTCTCTGGTCTGGGAGCTAAAAAGTTAAAACAGAATAGATCACCAAGACAAAAATCTATTGAATCCTGTAGACAGGGTGAGCTGACTTCAGTTGATATCAGCTAACTTCCGAAGAGGCCTGATTCAGTAGGCCTGGGCTACTGCCCTAACTAAGACATAACCCAAAACATTGCTCCACATCGTCCCTGGAATCACTCCAGTTCATGCAAGTGCTTTCTATGTTGTTATCTGAAAAGGGATGTTTGCGACTATAATTAAATTACAGACCTTGGACAGCAGATGGCAATGCCCTGTAAGCTCAGCCTTATAATTTCCCTATCATCAATTCATTCAGCGACCCTGTTCATTGCAGGGCCTACACAACACAATGAACAAGGGCAGACAACTATCCTACACTAAAGTGACTTGTCAAAATGCTTTGGGAAGAGAGGAAGTGCTAAGACAAACACGGGAGGTGCCACACCTCCCAGTGTCACCTGGCAAGGGCCACATGTACAGCAAGGCTGGGTCACCCAACCTCCCACCTGGAGAAAGGAAACGTTCTGCCTTCCTACAACAATGTGCAAAGCTGGATGCTAAACAGTTCAGGAGGGGAAGTGGCTTATTCCACTGTACCGGCGTGAAGCTGGTGGAGCTGTCACAGCTCCTGAATACTGTGTGAATACATATAGTGGGGGTCTTCACCCACTCTCTAGCGGGACTTCTGGAGCAGGAACCCAAAAGCCAGGCACCTTAAGCTCCTAGCATCAGTACTCACCTCATCAGTAAGCTTAAGCAGACCCTCCCCCAGTAGGTCAAAGGCATGCAATAGAGGTAGCAAGTAATGCAGAGACTTTGCAGAAGGGTTTATAAAAACAGTCACTCTACTTCAGACAGCAAAAAGGATATAAAAAGCAAAGTAAAACACATGCCCTGCACCCCTATTGCCCTTTCCTCACAGCTCTCGAATAATTGCACTGAATTCACTCCTCTACCCCTAGAGTATGCAACCCTCTCCTGGCTTCAGAAAGAGAAAAACACGCCTCTCTGCCAGGTGACACCTGGTCAGCCTCAAACCTTCCTGTCAGGCAATCAGGTGCCTGGTGGACTGGTTCTTCTGGACTCATTGATTTCAGGAGCCTCCACCAGAGTTTCTGCATGCTCTGCTGCTCGCCCAGGGTCACCAGCCTCAGAATACCAGCTCAAGATGGAGATATGATGAGAAGAGATGGCACGGACCAGCCCCATGATCAAAATGAAGTTTGCAATTGGACACAGACATGGAGAAGAGCTCCTGATGCCAAACATGAATGCCCAAGTTGTACATATATCCCTAAATTATCAGTGCTGCGAGGAGTTGCCATCATAGCACACACCACTCAAATGGAAAG